CCTTCTCCTCCGCCTCCGCCTCCGCCTCCTCCTCCTCCTCCTTCAACCCTCCTCCTCCTCCAATCCGCCTCCTCCTCCTCCTCCTCCTCTTCCATTCCCTCTCCTCCTCCAATCCTCCTCATCCTCCTCCTCATCCTCCTCCTTCTCCTCCTTCTCCAATCCTCCTCCTCTTCCTCCTTTAATCCGCCTCCTCCTCCTCCTCCTCCTCTTCCTCCCTAAAAGGGCAGCTGCCGGAGGACCCGCGGCGCCCGGCAGGGGGCAGGGGGGTGCTTGGAGCGGCTCCAGCTCCCTGGCGTGCCTTCCCCGCCCGCGGTGCCGCGCACGAGCGGCGGCGCGACAGGGGGCGGTCGTCTGCGAAGGCCAGGGGGGTGGGGTTCTCCCACCTCCCTCCTCCCTCCCTCGCTGGGGGAGGGGAGGGCTAGGGGGCTCTCCCCCCTCCCTCCTCCCTCCCAGGGGGGGGAAGGGGGGAAATGGAGGGGGGGAATGGAGGGGGAGGACTGTTCCAAACCTTTCCAGACTTGGTCACACTGCTTTCCACACGTTTGCATACTTTCCCAAACCTCCAGATCCGGGCGTACTGTCCTGCATGTCTTCAAACGGCTTCCACCCTCCAAATCCTGGCGTGTTTTATTTTTTAATTTGCTCCCCACAAGAGCTACCACTCAATTGCGGGCGTACCTTTTTCAAACGTTTTGCCAACATTTTGTTAACCTTCCAAATCCCAGCGTGCGTGTCCCAATGTGGTATTTTTAAGTTGTTTCAAGTTCTTGTGTTTCCCTTATTTCAATATGTTTCGAACTGTGTTGCCAACTTTCCAAAGTTGGGCGTTTCACCAGCTCTCTACCGCTCACAAAAAAACAAGGTCTTCAAATCTCTAATTCCAAGTGAACGTTTCAGTTGTTCCAATGTTCCACATGTAGGCTAAGATTTTCCTAGCTTCCAATTCCGAGCAAACTCACACTCGTACTTCGCCCGTTTTGCGAATTCGCATTTTCCATACTCCTGTTAAATATTGAGTTCAAGCAAGATTTCATTTGCCCGTTCCGGGGGGATATTACATTCTGGGGTGAGGGGCCAGGGGCCGAAACTTGGTGGCAACGAGGCCAAGCGGGTTGACCTGCAATAATGTGTGCACGCTGCTGTTTATCTATCTCCTGGCTGGCTCATTTTCGTCCTCCTCCTCGTTCTTTACCTCTTCTCATCGTCCCCCTCCGCTTCCCCCCTTCACAAACCGCCTCCATGTCTTCTTCCTCCTCCTTCTCCCGCCGCCCTCCGCGCCCGCGCTCACTCCTCGAAGTCTTCCCCCCGCTCGCTCCACCCCCCCCCCACGCTGCCTGCCCCTCCCCAGATGAAAAGCAGGCGTCCTGCCCCGCCCGCCCCCTACCGATAACGGCGCGGGCTCGGGCCGTACCTCCAGACTTGCTGCGGGGGCACCGCTGCTCCTCGGACCTCTCCGGGGGCGCGGCCTTGCCAGGCTGCCGGAGCGAACCCGATCGTGGCCCACGCGGGCCCGCCGGGCCCAAGAGGGCGAAGGTGCGGGCACTACACGAAGGAGTTGCTCGGAGGTGGATAGACCTCCTACCCTGACACGTCGATTGAGGAATTGGCCGTTTTCGCTTCGCGAGAGGGCGTCGCAGCCGTCATCTTTGCGGGTCCAGGTCCGTCGGTTTCGGTCCCAGGCCGTGTTCACTAAGGCCCAAGAGGGCGAGGAGGAGGAGGAGGAGGAGGAGGAGGAGCAGGACGAGGAGGAGGAGGAGGAGGAGGGGGAGGAGGAGGAGGAGGAGGAGGAGGAGGAGGAGGAGTTGCACATGCTTCGTCGTCCCGTGCTCCTCGCGGCGGGCGCGAAGCGAAGGTCAGAGGTGTTTGCCCCTGGAGGCGTTGGCCTCCTGGCCGACGCCAGAGTCGTGCGGCCCGTGCGCGAAGCTGCAGCAGAGCTCCGCTCCGATCTTCGCGGGTGCCCTCGAGGACGCGGAGTTCTTCGCGCTCCGCGCTTCGGCTCCGATTCCTCGTCGCCCTCCTCTTCTTCCCTGGGGGCGGTGGCGCGAGGACGCGAAGTTAACTTCGCGTTTGGTGCAGCGCGGGGCGCGCGAAGTTAGGCGCCGATGGATCTCGCGGCATCGGGGAAAGAATCTCCAGCCTGGTCCTCGCCAGGTCGAGCGACGCCTCACCGGCGCGCCCCGAGCGCCCCCCTTGTGAGCTGCCCTCCCTGCCCAAGCGCACCGCTTGCCCTTCGGTTCCCCTTTCCTCCAGTGTCCTCCTCCTCCTCCTCCTCCTCCTCCTCCTCCTCCTCCTCCTCCTCCTCGTAGGAGACGAGGGGCCTGCGAACAGTTAGGGAGGTCAAGGGAGTTGTTAATGCAGTCGGACCGAGGTATAACATCGAGGTCGATCCGGGGAGGGTATCCTATTGTTCTTTGTGTTTGTTGGACGTTCTTGTGAATCCTGGGGAGGGCGCCCATAGATGGTCGATCTGCTTTGACCGAAGGAGAATCTCATGATCTTGAAGGATGCTATTCTGGCCTACAGCCGGCCCGGATTAGTAGGTCGACCCTGTCAGCTCAAGGGTACATTTGTGTCCTGTGCCTCGCGGCACGTGCCGTCTTACACTCCTATGGCGATGTGGCCTTCGGAAGGGTCTTGTGTCCTCTCGCGTGTCCTGTCCAATCAAGGCCGACTGTAGGTTCGACTGTACAGCCGAGCATCTGATTAGGAAGCCTTCTGCCGAATAGCTGGGCCTGCGTTTCTTGGCCAACTTGCCGCAAAGCTGGCCCGGCTTCTGGAGCGCCTTCGCCGCTCCATCGTGAAAATACAGAGGTTGGCCCAGGCTTGTTTTCGGCCGCCTCTGGGAAGCTTAAATGATGATTTGCTTGATCGCACTGTCGGTTGTATACGCCTGTATGAGGCGTTCCAAAGATCTAGGCCTCCCAGATGGGGTCCGAGTAGATGTGATCGGAGGCTCGCGCCGCATCGCCGGTGCATCGGCGATGCGGCTCGATGTGGTGGCCGATGTTTTTCACGCCGACGTCGCCGATGCATCGCCGACGTCGCCAATGCATCGCCGATGCATCGGCGGTGCGGCGCGATCCTCGGGCCCCATCTACTCGGACCCCATCTGGGAGGCCTCGAAGAGAGGTCCTTGCCTTCGAGGGTCGAAGGGGTTGCCATCCCCTCCTCGGCGGAGGGCGGCGAAGGTCGGCGGAGGGCGGCGGAAGCAAACCGGCGGCGGCTCCGCCAGCGGAAGTTCGGCGGAAGCCAAAATCGGTTTATCAAGAGCGGGCAGGGTTGTTGTGGTGACACGCAGAGAGAGGGAGAGAAAGGGAGAGAGAGAGTGGTGTCAGGTAGGAGAGAAAGACAGAGAGAGAGAGAGACAACAACAAAAAATCAAAAAGCAAGGAAGGAGCCGCGGGTCCTCCCCGGAAGTCACCCGAGGCACAGCTGCGGAGGCGGAGGAAGGGGTCGCAGACGAGGGTGCGGAGGACACGGGCGGAGCTGGAGGGGGAGGGTAAGGGCAGGAGGACGAGGAGGAGGAGCATCAGGCGGTGGGTGCGCACCACGGCAAGCCGGAGGCGGAGGAGGGAGGCGAGGAAGCGGAGGGCCAGGGAGGGGCAGGGCCTCGCGCCCTTCTGCCACGAGGAGCGAGACCCCGTCCAGGCTGCGGACGCTGCAGGAGTTCTGGGGCAGCGGCAAGGACACCGCGGGCCGCTGCTCCCGTCGGGGAGCAGCGGAGGGCATCCAGGGAATGGGAGGGAGGAGCAGAAAGAGGAGGAGGAGGAGGAGGAGGAGGAGGAGGAGGAGGAGGCGGAAGACGACTACAAGGACGAACACGAGGAGGAGGAGGAGGAGGAGGAGGACGAGGACTGGGAGGAGGAGGTGGACGTCTTGTCACTGCCGGTGATGCCGAGCGGGCCGACGGCTTCCGCAGGGCATTGAAGAGCAAGATGAGCACTTCTGAAGCTTCTGGCAGGTCCCGTGGGGAGTCCAGGGGAGAGGGACGCCAGGGAGGAGGGAGAGTAGGGAGGATGAGCGGTGTAGGGAGCAGGAGGAGGAAGAGGAGGAGGAACACCATCAGCAGCAGCATGAAGAGGGGGAGGAGAAGGACGACGAGGAGCAGGAGGGCATACAAGAAGAGGGCAAGGTCAAGGACCGAGATGAGCAACGGTCAGACGTTGTCAACTCGCAGGACCTTCTTGGGGCCTTGTGAGGATATCCTGGCACCGTAATGGGGCATTAGTGGGTCACATTAGGCGCTCTTGGTATCGTTGGGGCATGTGCTTCTAGTGACCAACTTCAGCAAACGTGGGTTCAGCTCGGGGCCTCTTGGAGGCATCTTGGACTAATGTGGGGGCCTCCTGGGAGCAAAAGAACGAAGCTGCAGCCAAACATTCATTGAGAAGATGTAACATGTGTTTGTTCTCCATCCTCCTGTGTTTGCGCCTGGGTGTTGCACACAGCTGTGCTGCTCCGAACGTCCTTATCCTCCCCCTCCTCCTTCTCCTTCTCCCTATTATTCTCTCCCTTCCTCTCCTCTCCTGCCTCCTACATCCTGGCTGCTCCCTGGCTGCTAACTCGCCTCCCTGGTTGGTGCGAGCTGCGCACCCGTCGCCACTTGAGCGGGCTGTTGGAGGTTCCCGCGGAGCGACGTCCTGTGGGGACGCAGCCGAAACCTCAGACCCTTGAGGGGCGCATTGATGCCAGTTGCGCAACTGTCAACACGTTCGTTGTCTCCTGGGAGGTCCAGCAGAGTGACGTCTTTTACCCGGACCAAATCAGTCCCCTCCTCCTTGGGCGCAGCCAGCTGTGAACATGCCGCTACGTTCGTGGGCTCCTGGGGGGTCCAGCGGAAGGACGTCTTCTTAGGACGCTGCCACGTGTGAAGCACTTGTCGCCTTCGTGGGCTCATGGGAGGTCCAGCAGAAGAACGTCTTAGATATTTGGACGCTGCCAAGCGTGAAACTTTAGTCGCCTTCGCGGGCTCCTGGAGAGTCCAGCGGAGTGACGTCTCACGCATACCCAAATTTGACCTCCGCTCCTTGGGCGCTGCCCATCGCCCAGTTGTCGCCACCTTCCTGGGCTCGCGGGAGGTCCGGCGCATAGTAACAGCTCGTGCGGGCCGGATCTCCCGTCATTGGGCGGTTGCCTTCTGCGCAGCCGTCGCTTTTTTGTAAGCTCCCTGGGAGGTCCACCGGAGAGACGTCTTGCGCGGACGCACGCTAGATTTACGTCGAGTCTGTCCCTCCACAGGAGGAAAATCCGAGGATAGTTAAACAGTAGTCTGGTGACATGCTTAGTCTGGTGACTGTGTTTCCTACAAGCTCCGCCTTTAGGATGACATGCCCGACCTAACGCTAGATCTCCCAGTGAGTTGCCAACTGCGCCACCGTCGCAATTTTGGTTGGCTCCTGGGAGGTCCAGCAGCGAGACGTCTCACGCGGAGCCGCGCTAGACCTCCTCCTTGTGGGCTGCCAGCTGCGCTACCGTTGCAATTTTGGCTAGCTTCCAGGTGGTCCAACAGAGAGACGTCTTACTCGGAGCCACTCTAGACCTCCTTGTGAGTTGCCGACTGCGCGACTGTCGCAGTTTTGGTTGGCTCCCAGAAGGTCCAGCGGAGAGACGTCTCACGCGGACCCACACTGGACCTCCTAATGAGTTGCCCGCTGCGCGACCGTCGCAATGTTGGTTGGCTCCCAGGAGGTCCAGCGGAGAGACGTCTTACGCGAAGCCACGCTAGACCTCCTTGTGAGAAACCCGCTGCGCGACCGTCGCAGTTTTGGCTGGTTTCCAGGAGGTCCAGCGAAGGGACGTCTTACGCGGAGCCACGCTAGACTTCCTTGTGAGCTGCCCACTGCGCGACAGTCGCAATGTTGGTTGGCTCCCAGGAGGTCCAGCGGAGGGACGTCTTACGCGGAGCCACGCCAGACGTCTTTGTGAGCTGCCCGCTGCGCGACCGTCGCAATGTTGGCTGGCTCCCAGGAGGTCCACGGAGGGACGTCTTACGCGGAGCCGCGCTAGACCTCCTTGTGAGCTGCCAACTGCGTGACCGTCGCAAGTTTGGTTGTCTCCCAGGAGGTCCAGCGGCGTGACGTCTTGCGCGAGCCTAAACTGACCCTGCCACCTATGAGGCTGTCGCCACTTGCATCAGCTGCTGGGAGGTCCAGTTGCATGACAGCCTACGCGGGCCCAAATTAGACCTCTCTTTATTGGGCGTTGCAATCTGCGCAGTTGTCGCCACGTTGGTGAGCTTCTGGGATGTCCAGCGGAGTGACGTCTTTCGGGGTCCAAAACTAGACCTTGGGCGCTGCCATCTGCGCAAGTGACGCCAATTTCGTGAGCTCCTTGTGAGCTGCCCACTGCGCGACCGTCGCAGTTTCGGTTGGCTCCCAGGAGGTTCAGCGGAGGGACGTCTTACGCGGAGCCACGCTAGACGTCGTTGTGAGCTGCCCACTGCGCGACCGTCGCAATGTTGGTTGTCTCCCAGGAGGTCCAGCGAAGGGACGTCTTACACGGAGCCGCGCTAGACCTCTTTGTGAGCTGCCAATTGTCGCAAGTTTGGTTGTCTCCCAGGACGTCCAGCGGCGTGACGTCTTGCGCGAGCCTAAACTGACCCTGCCACCTATGAGGCTGTCGCCACTTGCATCAGCTGCTGGGAGGTCCAGTTGCGTGACGGCTTACGCGGACCCAAATTAGACCTCTCTTTACTGGGCGTTGCAATCTGCGCAGTTGTCGCCACTTAGGTAAGCTTCCGCGAGGTCCAGCGGAGTGACGTCTTTCGGGGTACAGGACTAGACCTTGGGCGCTGCCATCTGTGCAAGTGTCGCCAATTTCGTGAGCTCCTCGGAGGACCGCAACGCACAGGTTCCGCATGTAGCTCTTCGCCCTGTCAAATGTTGATTCGTTTGGGATGGGCTCGTTGATCTTGCCACATGCAGGTCGGTTGGGTAGGTTCCTGGATAGATTAGTTTTGTTGCCCCCAGGAACGCATACCGAAGTCCGCCTTGTGCAATGTGGCAGGCACTCTTGGACGCCTCGAGCGTCACCTCTGGCGATCTGGGACTCACCCCCCCCTGCGGACGGCGGACGTGGTGATGCATCTTGTTGGGCATCAGCTATCAAGCTCACTGACCAGATGGGCAGATGGTCGAGCATAGCTGCGCACCATCAGGGCCGCGGTGTGGGCGCGCACTGGTCCGGCAGAGGCCTTGGGGTCCAGGAGGCCCCATGTGGTCCCATGGACAGGCCATTGACTTGCATTCCAGAACCCGTACGGTTCCGGAAAGCTTGACCACCGCTATGGTTGCGATGGGGGTTCGTGTCCCTGGAGGCATATCTTGGAAGCCGTTAGGACATCTGAGACAATGTTACTGGAAGTCTCCTCCAGGAGCATCCGCAATGATGCTCCCAGGAGTTAATTGGGGAGCATCTCAAGTTTGGCTTCATTGGGCAGGGACAGGGACAAGAGGTATGCGGGGACGCCCCCAATCCAACCAGCTCAGACGACCTCCCGCTCAACACTTTTGATTTTTGGACATGATCCCGGAGCATCACCCACTAGTGCTTGCGGCCATTCGTAGTTTTCGACGGTGGTGAAGCGACTAGGACCAAAACAGATGAAACAATCAGCAATATCAAGGCTCCACCAGTCGACGAACGCGATGAGAACGGTGAGGACCACCACGCCGAAGAGGAAGATGGTGAGGGGAAGACGGCCCGACAAGGCATTATCGTCTTTTCCCCGCCGCTCCAGAGCGACATGCGGAGGAGGAGGAGGAAGAGGAGGAGGAGGAGGAGGAGGAGGAGCAGCAGCAGGAGGAGGAGGAGGAGGACAAGAAGGATGGCGACGAAGATGACGGCGACGACGATGACGACGACGACGACGACGACGACGACTCGAACGACGACGACGACGACGACAACGACGAGGAGGAGGAGGAGGACGTCGACGAGGGCGAGGACAACGAGGGGGGGAGGAGGAGGAGGAGGAGGAGGAGGAGGAGGAGGAGGAGGAGGGAGGAGGAGGAGGAGGGAGGAGGAGGAGGCGATCAGGAAGACGACGACGAGGGAGAGGGACGACTGGGAGAGGAGGAGGAGGAGGAGGAGGAGGAGGAGGAGGAGGGAAGGAGGGAGAAGGAGGAGGAGGAGGAGGAGGAGGAGGCGGAGGAGGAGGAGGAGGAGGAGGAGGGGAGGACGCACTCACCCTCGGGGTCGGCCACGCCTGGCCGCCGCGACGGGGCGCCGCTCCCGGCCCCGCGCGGACCCCATGCGGGCTCGGGCGGCGGGGCGGCGGCACACGGGGGGAGGGCGAGGAGAGGTGCAACCTCTGCACCCGAAAGGGGCCCCGAAGGCGAGCAAGGAGGAGGAGGAGGAGGAGGAGGAGGCGGAGGAGGAGGAGGAGGAGCAGTAGGAGGAGGAGCAGTAGGAGGAGGAGGAGGAGGAGGAGGAGGAGGAGGAGGAGGAGGAGGAGGAGGAGCAGGAGGCGCAGTAGGAGGAGGAGGAGGAGGAGGAGGAGGAGGAGGAGGAGGAGAAGGGAGGGGCGCCGCGCACACGCGGGAACCAACCCAATGGGTCACAGGATCGGGGGGCTTGATGAATGAGGGGGGCGGGGTGAGGAAAGGGGAGCCTCTTGGACCCTAAAACGGGCCCTACACAGGGCCCCCAAAGGGGCACGAGAGGTGCACGTTTGGTCCCTCCCTTTCTCCAAGTCGGCGCCCCCCATGAATTCACGCCCGACGGGCCTGTCATCGTGGCCACCAGGCAGGTGGCCGCCGTGAACGTGGTGGAGAGAGGAGCAGGGGCAGGAGGAGGAGGAGGACAAGTGTAACCCCAAGAGCCATCAACGATGTTGGGAGATACCCTCCCTCCAAGCTCCCTCTTCATAGAACCCTACAACGGTTCATTTCCATTGAGGGATCGGCCTCGATGGAAGACAACCGCTTGAAGACCCGGAGGCATGCCAAAACATTGTTCTCGGGATTCCAACGCCACGGATCAATTTGATTGTTGCGTCTTGACTATCATGGATCGCGCCAGAACGCCATTCTTGGGATTGCAACACAGTCAATCAACATAATTGCTGCACCCGCAGAATCCTGAATGCTTTCAACAAAAAAAAGACATGTCTGGTACGTTGATCGTGGGAATCCGTGAAACTGTTGCAAATTTGTAGAACGAGTGTGCGCGGCGCTTAGGCGAGAGTCACATGTTGAAAAGGAAACGCCTTCAATCCATGAAACTCCTGCAAATGTTTGGAACGAATGTCCGCGGCGCTAAGGCGAGAGCCACATTTTGAAAACGGGTTACGCTCAATCCGTGAAGCTCTTGCACATATTTAGAACGAATGTGCGCGGCGCTGAGGCGAGAGCCTCATTTTGAAAACGGGTTATCCTCAATCCGTGAAGCCTTTGCATTTTTCAAGACGCATGTGCGCGGCGCTAAGGCGAGAGCTCCATGCTGACAACGACCCGCTAATTATCAAGCTCCAGAGTCAGAAGTGGTGAGGAAGTCTCATGCGAATTGCCCGGCCCGCCCTCAAATCTGGGCTCGGGGTGCGACAGGGAGAAGCTGTTCATAAGGGAAAAGGAGTGGAGGAGGAGGAGGAGGAAGAGGAGGGAGGAAGAGGAAGGAGGAGGAGGGAGGGAGGACGAGCTCCTGGAGAAAAGTGCCGGCAGCGCGCGGCGCGCTTGGATCGGAAGAGGGCCAGCCGGTCGAGACAGCGGCGGCCCTCCCCCCGCGTGCTGCTCATCCTCGCGGGGGCTCCCCTTTGAGGCGTCTCGGCGCCACGGCCAGGGCCGCCTCGTGCAGCGGGTCCGGACAGACCCTGGGAGCGGGCGCGCCTGAAGGACGACGACGACGACGACGACGACGGCGACGACGACGGCGACGACGACGACGACGACGACGACGGCGACGGCGACGGCGACGGCGACGACGACGGCGATGACGACGGCGATGACGACGGCGATCACGAGCGGAGTTGGGCCAGGTGGGAGGGCCGCCGCTGTCTCAACTGGCCCTCCTCCGACCAAACGTCCTGGCAACCATGCCGGCAGCGCGCTGTGCGCCTGGAGCGCGCGGGGGCGCTCGGAGAGCGCCCCCCGCCAGGAACAATGGCAGCGCGATGGCTGTTGAGAGCGCGTGGGCACGCCGGAGGTGCGCTTCCTGGCAGCCGCGCTGGCAGCGCGAGGTACACTGGAAGCGGGCCTGCACGTCCTGGAGTGGCACGCGAGGCCGACGGGAAAGGCGCGGGAGAGGCACTGGCCCAGGGCGCTTGCAGTGAGGGAGCTACTCGAGCAAGCAGCCACAGGCAAGCCTAGTCTGGGAGCAGCGCTGGCAGCGCGATGTGTGCCGCGAGCGGACGGATGCACTTGCACATACGTGCACACACACACACACACACACACTGTGGCTCAGGCTCCTTGAACCCAAGTGTTCTTATCGGCTATCGCCTGGCCCTCAGGCTCAGCAATCAGCAAGACTGAGTCCCAGCGTGCCGTGCGCGCCCCAGCCATGCAAGGAGACGCCTAGGACCTCGGGCCCACGATGGCGGAGGAGGGCGCGGGAGGCCGCGAGCTCCCGATCGCGCCTGCCGCGGAAGCGGCGCGGCTGTCCGCGGCGGGCCGCCTCGTCGGCACCGTGTCCTTCGCGGCCATGCTGCTGCTGGCCGGCTCCGCCGCCCTGGCCGCGAGCCTGCACCACGCCTCCGGCCTCGGCCTCCGCGTGGACAGCGTGCACGTCTCCGCGCCCGAGGGCGCGGACTCCGCCGAGGTCGTGATCGGCGCGGGCCTGGAGCGGCCCGGGTGGACCCCGCACCGCGCCTGGCTTCGCAGCGCCGCGTGCCGGCTGCAGGTGCGGGGCCTGGACATCGCCGTCGAGGCCCCCGAGGCGCAGCACCTGGGCCCGTCGCGCGTCAAGCTCCACGCCCGCACGCGGGTGTCGCCGGCGGGCGCCGCAGCGCCTGCGCCGGGCGGCTGCGAGGTCACGTCCAGCGTGGACCTGTTCGGACTCGGCGTGCGCGTGGCGTGGACGGTGTGGACGCCCGTGGACATTTCGGCCGCCAGGGCGCCCAAGATGTGGATGCAGCGCAGCGGGGGCCTGACGCGGAAGGGCCCCCGGTCGCTGCAGGACCCCAACGTGACGCTGGAGCAGCCAGCACTGCTGGGCTGGCGGGTGCCCGCCGGGAGCCTCCCCGAGGCCCTGGACGCCCTGCTCGGGAGCGCGAGCATCAGCCTCGACGCCGCCGTCAGCTACGAGGAGAGCGGGGACCGCTCCGTGCGGCTGACGAAGGCGGTCAACGCCAGCCTGGCCATCGAGAGCGACGGCGAGGGCGGCTACCTGGTCTCCGTGCCGGCCCTGGTCTCCAGCCACGTGCGCCCCGCCGCCTTCGCGGCCGCCCTCGGGAAGCTGGTCCTCGGCGACTCCCGCGGGGAGCGCGGCGGCGTCCACCGCTCGGTGCGGATGGTCGCCGTGGCGCCGTCGTCGCCAGTGGCGCAGTGCCTGGGCGCCTCGCATTCGTTGGGCTGGCGCAGCCGCCGGGGGTCGGCCGTGCACGACCTGGCCCGCGGGGCGAGGCGGCTGCTGGGCCGCCAGCTTGCGAGGTCGCTGGCGGGCTCCGCCGGTGCGCGGGCGGGGCAGCAGCCGCCGCAGGACGCCCGTCGCCTGTCCGGGGCCGGCGAGAGCACCACCTTGACGCTGTCTGAGATGATCTACGCAGACGAGTCCCAGATTGACATTGACCTCAATGCCACCATGACTGACGACGGGATCGGCCTCGACTTCACCTTCGGCCTGGACGGCGAGACCATGGTCGAAGTGCACCTGTCTGCTGCGGAGTCGGCCCAGGCGGGGGAGGCCTCCCTGAGCTTGGACGTGGCAGTGGAAGGCGTGGAAGTTGCTAACATCGTGTACTCTTCAACTGACTCGGCCGACGAGACGTCCCTCTCCGTGCTGATCAAGGAACCGGGCAGTGGCGATACCATCGCTACCGTGTCTGCTTCCTCGAGCGCAAGCGCTGGGGAATCCCTCTCGGCCAGCGTTTTTGCGAGTGGCACAGAGTTCGTTACCGTCACTGGCTCAAATAGTAGCGCGTCCATGATCTTTTCGGCGGTGATGAAGGACCCCAGCAATGCGGCCAGCACGTTGCTCACAGCATCCGCCTCGGCAACCTACACTGGTGCTGACACGGAGGGCGATTTCGGGGTCACGGTACACCTAGGAGATGATCAGATCGAGTTAACCGGATCTTTGACGGATAGTTATCGCACACAAGATGGTTTTTCGATGGACGCAGAGCTCTCGGTTGGCGGTAGCGCCGTAGGGCGGGCTGATGTCGATGGCACCCACGATGACACTGGTCTGAATGCCGTCGCGACGGTTGAGATGTCCGCAGATGGCAGCTTTGAGCAGATACTTAAGCTGGACCCCTTCATTCTGGTGCGTAAGAGCACGAATTACACGATCCACGCCACCCTCTTCGACAGCTCGGACACAGAGATTGCCACAGTTGGCGTGTCGCTCACCAATGAGCCTGCCGGTGGCCAGGTGCAAGATGTGGACATCCAGCCGTTCAGCCCCATGGACTCCAGTCTCAACGTTACCATGACCGTATCATTGGCCAGCGCCGTGCTCGAAGCCCTTACAGACGCAGGGGATATTCCATGCCTGCAGGGTTCGTGCTCTGTGGATGTGGGCGTGCACAGCCAGCACATGGAGCTGACCTTCTCATCGGTACCATCAGGTGAGCAGGAAGCCTACCGCGCGGTTCTCGGCTTGATCACGAGGGACACGCTCTATTTCGCAGGGGGATCAGTCACTGCGCAGGGCGTGAACCTGATCGTAGCAGACGTGCAGCTAGGCAACGGCAATTCGGCCATCGCAGCCGACCAGTTCGCCTTGTCGTCTACTGGCACCCTGAAGGACGGGGACAACGAGAAGATTATTGGATGGGATCTGAGCGCCGACGTATCCACTTCCCTCCAGTCCATGGAGCTGACCTTGGACAACAAGTCTGGCCCTCTGCTCGAGGCGACCGTCTCCTTCACCGAGCTCGCCGCGAGGAGCACGTCCGCGGGGGAGATCAAGCTCGAGGGCGAGAGGGCCGCCAAGTGGGATTTCGCCTCGGAGACGGCAGGCTCCACGACCACCGTGGAGATGGCTGTCTGGGACGCGGAGGGCGAGCTTGCCGCCGCCAGCGCCTCGACCACCGTGGACGCGTCGGCCGGCTCGGAGGTGTCCCTTGTGAGCCTCGCGCTCAGACCGGGGAGCGGGCAGGACCCCGAGGCCCTCGGCGGCGTCCGGCTCGAGACGGTCGACGCGTCCGGGGACCGGGCGGCCTTCCAGCTCCAGGTCCTCGGCTCCGACCTGCAGACGCCCTTCTTCCAGCTCGACGCGGCCGTGGACTTCACGGCGGATGGCGGTCTCCGCCTGCTCACCGACTGGGACGCTTCCGTCGAGGCGCAGGTCTGGGACCCCGGCGACACCGCCGCGGGAGTGATGATGACCATGTCGGTGACCAGCAGCAGCTCTGGGGGTGTCTTCACGTCTGGGATGGCCATGGAGGACGCGGACGGCACGCAGTTGATGAATTGGTCCATCACGGGAACGAGCGCTTCCGATGGCATCTCCACCCACGGGACTCTCGGAGACGTCATGGCCATTACGCTGGCCATGTCGAAGCCCGACGGGCGCCTTGACACGATGTCTCAGATGGACTTGACGTTGACGATGGAGAGCATGATGGACGGCGAAGACGATGACGAGATGGAGCAAGGACAGACTCGGGAGCACGATGATGAGGAGGAGGACACTGACGATTGGGACTCAATGGACTTGAGCAACGTAACCATCTCACTCAGCCTTGGCTACGATGGCACGGACACTTGGGATGCAACTGGAATCGTGAGCCAAAGCGGCGACACGATTGCTTCAGTGGAGGCTCACGTACACGAAGAATGGGTCTCTTTGACCTCTTGGGCCAACGAAGATGTTGGGGACATGATTGGCGCCGGGTCCGTCTACGAGTACGTCAACACCAGCATGCCGTTCTCCGACTCAAGTGACATGTGGTCGATCAATTACGTTCAGACGAGCGACTACATCGAGACCACTAACGTTAGCTGGCATTCGGACGCCAGCACCGGAACTCCAAGCATAACAATTTGCAAACACGCAGCTTCTCTGAGGTCCGCGCGTATTTCTTGGATCGGTGTTGGGCCCCTCTGGCGGCGCCTCCGGCGCCGCCCCTGGCGGGTCAGGGAGGGGGCCAAGCGCCAATCCAAGAAATTCGCGCGGACCTCCAAAAAATGCTGCTTGGCGTTCTTCTAGGAATCTCTGGCTTCTCTTTCAAGTCGTTCGCGATGGAGATGGACGACGGCGGCGCGTGGCAGTACATCTTCACCGCCAACGCCACGGGAGAGAGCACTGGGGGGCCAGTGACCCCCACGCCAGCGCCACCGGCGCCGACCACGATGACCGTCTCGGGGAGCTTTAAGGCTAGAGTGGCGGCTTCCGATGCCCAGGACTTTATCAGCAACCCCGTCGTCGTGGCGGCTTTCGTGAGCTCGATCGCCGAGAGGGTCAATGCGCCAGAGTCGATGGTGGAGGTGACGCTCTCGGTGCAGAGCAGCCGGAGGTGGTCGGCCAGAGGGCCAGTCGAGAAAAGGGTCGCCTTTTGGCCTTCTGGAGGCCGTCCTGGCCGCAACGGCCGAGCCCAGCTCGGAAAATTGGTGCGCTTGGGCCCCCGGGCCCCCGGGAGGGGTCCGGTCTTGAGCGGGTCCGTGCCGCGGGGCGGGAGGGTGTCGCCGTCGTCTCGCCGCCGTTGCCTCCAATGGGCGCTCCTCCGAGGTTGGCGGCCGGAGGTGGCAGGAGCCGGGGCAGCGACAGGGGGGGGGGGGGTAGGCACAGGGGGGGCGCATCGACCCCCCGCCGCCCACGGATCGCCGCTAGGGGCCCGACAGCCCCAAACTCGCTCGGGAAAGTCCGGATGCAGGATGGGGGGGCCTATCGCCGACCTGTGAGCGATGTCTCGCGGCACCCAGGCCGATGTTTCCCCACCTGTGCCAGTCCCCCCCTTATCGTTGCCCCGCAAAGGAGGATGACGGCCCAGGCAGAGATCTTGGTCTCCTACGTCATCACCGCAGAAGTGAGCTCCTCCAGCGACGGAGGTGCCATCAGTGAAAGCGACTTCGACAGCATGGTAGATGCCCTGGAGAGCACCACCGCGGCCGACTTCGTGGCAGGTTTCACCACGGAGCTTCAGGAAAGAGACGGTGGGATTGCCTCTCGCTACTCTGCGGTGGCGGCGGTGGAGAACTCGGAAACAGCCCCAGCCACCGCCATTGTCCAACGTGGGGCGACTGCTGGCGCACGTGCTGCATTCCCGCAGGCGTTGTTGTTTGCTACCGCCTGCGGGCTGGCACTCTAAGTGGACAAGGGGGCAGGGGGCAAGGCACCGTATCGAAAGCCTAGTGCACGTTGTCTGCGTTTTTTCCACCCATGCA